CAAAATAATTGATTGGTTTGAGTGCTTTAGTGAAAGAAAATAATCAGCAACCACTTGTATCCTGTAGTCATATATTTATGAGATTAATATCTTTTGCCTTTAAATTACATTTAAAAATAAATTCAGAAGTTTAACCATTTATCAACAATATCCCATTATTGTTTTTAAACAATATAGGGAGATAACTAGGCATTATCATGACAGTTTAAAAAACTAAGTAAATGATGACACTCTTTTGCCAGGAAAACAACTTTCTAGAATACAGTCTTCTTTTAGGTACTACTGAGACTCTCAGTTAAACAACATCAAAGTATAGTATTCTCTTATGCCCAATGGTATAATAAATAAGCAGTGACTGCAATCTTTAGCAAAAGGACCAAATTAAAGACAGGTTATAAAAATGACTTCCCAGGTGCAATCTCACTTTCATAACGTCTCAATCAGGGTTTACAGGTAAAACAAATGGTCCAATGAAAGAATTGGAAAGAGACTGCAAAGAAATTTACTTCATTTTGGAGTCTTTTTTTGATCTGTCAGATTTATTCTGAAAGAATCGAGAAAGTTTTGGTATAAATTCATTACCTCTGTAAACCCCTGTTTATAAACTCTGCATTAGTACTTTTGCCTTCTAAGGCAGTCAAAATTTGTTCTAACTTATTTATAAATTGCAGTAGCAAGTGCTAGTGCCCATTACATTGGAGGTGGGGGGAAATCAAGTTTTTGACAGTATTAGAATATTTTAACTGATTCTTTTTGGCAGTTCTAACATAGATATATCCCTTCTTAACAGTACCCTTTAATGAACAAGGATCAGACAAGTTGCATAAGAAAAGGAAAGGAAAATGAAAAAGACCAAGCAGAAGGATGAATGCTACAACAGAGAAAGTAAGCCTAACATATTGGTGCACTGATGACAAAAGGAGTAATTCAGTCTGAAAATAAAAGATTACCACTGCTAAGTTTACCATCACCACAACAAGTCCAGGATCATAATGCTGTAAAAAAGAAACACCATTTGTTAGGCAGAAACCATGAGGGTAGGAAACAGGCCTTCTAGCAGGCAGACAGGAGGGGGTAAAGTACCAATTGGGCTTTGTCCCTCCCCCAACTTCAGCTAAGGACAGAGAAAGGACATTTTGTGCTTCTGCAGCTGTTTTCATACTGGTCAGGACAGGGTGTGAGATTTTTGTACTGCTACTTGAGAACACGAACAATCTTCAATAATGTAGGGGTTGGGGGATGGGTGGGATGTCAGTCTGTTTAAAGGGAGAGAACTAGCACTAGCTTCCACTCTTTCGTCTAACTTAATCACTCTGGCAAATCAGTATTCAGGACCCAAGATGAGATTCTTCCTTAAAAAAAACAAAACAAAAAAAAACCAATCACACTGAAGACTGGATGGGATCAACTAGACACTGACCAAGTAATTTGTTTCACTAAAAAAACTATAACCGGGTAGGAGAGGTAGGGTTTCAAGACCTCATTAAAAATATATTTAACAGTTCAGAAATCTAGAAAACAACCTTAGATCTTCAGTATTTGAAGAATGTCCAAGTGAGTTAAGAATGAGTAAAACTCTTAAGCAACTCTGTTTAGTCTTTGCTTCTTGTCAAAAAGACCTCTCTGGCTCGCCAACATCTTTTCTGTATGCAACTAAACCAACCTTTGAAACAGAGCTCCAGAAAAACAAAACAAAACAAAAGGCCTCAAGAGAGTCATCACATTTATCATTTCTCCAGAGTTAACGCACAGAAAGTCTAGCTTACAAAGCAAACTGAAAATGAGAGTACCGCCTGAGTGAAGCAGTGATTTCTTACTAATAAAGTGACTATTACAGGCCAAGGAAAAAAAAATCACAGTGGGCAAAGACCAAAGAATATATATACAGGAAGAGGTTGCACCCTGTTTTTTAAAAACCTACTTAGTTATTCATTTACAATCAATAACTGATCTTTCCATAAAGAGCATCACTTAAATGACCAACTAATAATTCTGAATCATCAGCTTTTGTTTTTAAAGTAAACAGCAGTAGCAACAGTACAGATTCTCTAGAAGGGTCAACTTCTCTTTAAAACAATAAATAAGCTACCTATTTCTGTTTCTTCCAGTGTGAAAAATTTTATTTAAACTCTTCAATTATGAAGAACATGGGGGGGTGGTTGAGACAGGTCTCCCAGTAGTCCTAGCTGACCTGGAATTCGATATGTAAACCATGCTGGCCTTGATCTCACAGAAATCCACCTGCCTCCACCTTCCAAGTTTAAAGGCATGTGCCACCACGCCCAGCTTATTAAGAACATTTTTGGTGTTTATTTCACTGCAAAGAGGGCAATTCAACCAAAACACTAAATATTCTCCTTAAAAGAAAATGACCTAGGGCTGGTAAGATAGCTCAGTGGGTAAAAGCACTTGCCCTGCAAACTAGCAACCTGAGTTCTGGAATCCACACAAAGATGGAAGGAGAGAAACAGCTCCACAAAGTTGTCCTCTGACCACCACATGCATGCTGCTGAGCCATATTGCCTAAATTAAAACTAGGCAACCAGAGTTGAATTTCAGGTGTCTTCTCTGGCTTTCTACCTTATTTTTTTCAGACAGGGTCTTACGCTGAACCTAGAGTTCACAGATTGGCTAGACAAACCAGCCAGCAAGCCCTAGGGATCTTCTTGTATTTACCATCTGCCACCCAAGCACTGGGGTTAAAGGCAGAGCATGACTTTTTACTCCAGCTTTCTTTGCTTGGGGCTCAAACTCAGGTTCTCATGCTTGTGCCCCAAGTATTTTATTGACTGAATTATCTCCCCAGTGGCCCCTATTAATCAGAGAACTCCAAAAGAGCCAAGCACAGTGACACACATCTGGAATAGTAGTCCTTGGGAGGCAGAGGGGATTGCAGTCAATCTGAGGCCAGCATGGCTACACAGTAAGTTCTACACCAGTTAGAGCTACAGAGTGGCAACCTGGAACTCTGTGAGTCAGTCCTCTAATTCAGCATTAACTGAGCATGTAACATGAGCTCTGCTAGATTCATGATCCAAAATAAAGGCACTAGAAGGATTTAATAGTCTGTTTCACTTAATCCTAAAGTCTAAATGGTAAAAAATATGTGTGGAGTTACATAGATGGTGGCCAGCAGCAGTAGTATGAACACCTGGCAATCCAACGCCTTCTTACAGCTGTATTCTTACTATTGGTTAAGTGTTCCAAACCTCAGTGAAACATGTTTATTGTTACAGGATCACTCTACAACCCCAAACATTTCCCAGTTTCACGTACATTGCTTCCCCTGTATTTTCCATTGTAACCCCTCCCACACGTTAATGAATTATATGTGCAGTTTTGAGGCTATAAAATCTCAGTTCTTCAAAAAGAGACAACATATAAATAGTGACTGTTTACAACCAGAGGATGAGTTTAGGCAGATGGCTCTGCAAAATGATATTATCTACATTTTCAGGATT